CATTCTAATAGAATGTAAAGAAGTTACTTTGTATTAGAATGTAGCTTCTTTACATTCTAATAGAATGTAAAGAAGCTACAGTGTATAGAATGATTCTATTGAAGTTATTCCTTTTTTAAATGTTTTAGACGAGTCACTAATCACTTTAAAATAGTGATTATAGCTGATTTAACTTACAGACATGAGATTGATCTTCTCATATCACTCTGTTTATACAATGATATAAATTCATCCCCGTTTTATTGATATCTTATGAAAAATTACTCCTCACTTTTCGTGCGTTTTTCCTGCAAAAGTCCAGCAACACGAGTCTGTTTTCGCTTGTTACATGCATACTGTCTTTTCAAAATAAACTTCCATCTTCACAGGAAACAACTAAGGTTTAGGGCTAGAGAAATACATAATGATATTGTTCCAAACTGGACGAGACTAGACTGTGGCCCGACCGGTTGATGTACAGCTGTAACAAGTAGTCGAATACTTGATTAGTTGGCAGAAAATCAATGTTGATTATCTATTGTTTCAGTAATTTAATCAAGTAAAATGTCACATATTTGGTGGTCATTGCCTCTTAAATGTGGGGATTTGTTTCTTTTCTTAATGAACTACTCAGAAAAATGAGTAATAAATGAATTAATCATGAAAATAATGTGTAGTTGAGCCAGTTGGATCAGACACATGTATATTCATAGATACAGCAACAATATACTGTATGTAGTACATTTCATTTATATTCCTTTTTTTACACATCTGTTGGTATGAACTTCTGGTTAAACATCACTGGTTGTTTTGGTTGTTCTTATTTTAATTATATGGGATTCCAACAATTCACTCAACATTGTAGAAGGGTTAACTTTATACTTTTCCAATTCAAAAGATTTAATTTTACTGTCTGGATTGTAAATTTTAGTCAAGCATAGTGAAATAGATTTGATGTCCTCCTAGTGAATGAAATACAAATCAACAGATGGTCAAACCCACATAGTGCTGCCATCCACCGTCACAGAGTCTCAGGGTGTATGTGGTAGAGTGAGCTGTGACTGCATGGCAGCAAGACATCATAAACAGGCGTCATTCCCAGCACCAAGAAGATAAGAGACACTTTAGGCCACATTAAAAAAAGAAATAAGTGGAGAAACTTTGAAACACATAATCACTCAATTCTGATGGAGGAAATGGCATTTGGGAAAAAGAGAACGAGAACCAAGGAAAGGAAAGGAGACGCTTATCGAGAGTGGCGCCATTTAGGGTCAATATATATATTTTTAATTGAGTGCAGTCCCAAATATCTACTCAACTACTAGTCATAACCGTTATGAAAACACTTACAAACAATCCTTTATTGACACACACACACACACACACACACACACGCACACAGTGTGCCCGGACAACAACAACCTCCCAACAACCCATGCTTATCTCAACACACCCAGGCTTTCTCTCTTTGGCATTCACTCAGTCTCTCTCTCTCAAACATATACACACTGACACACACACTACGCACACAAGCCTATCTTTCATCCCAAAATTCATGCAGGCAGATTTCTCTCATCCTCTACCAACCATTCTTTCTCCGCAACTCTCGCAAGCACTGTTCCCTCTTCTGTCCCATTATTGCCTCTAAAACCTCCAGAATACATCGACCAATTCCCTGTTACAGCACACACTGTGGCTGCATCCTTTCTTTTCTCTCGTCTCAGTCCAGTGGCTTATTTCTCCTGAAACAATCTAGTTCAACTGAGGAAGCCCCAAGCAAGCGGGACAATACTTTTCTCCTTCGCCAAAACCAGCCACAGCTAACTCCATATGCATCCTGCGTCACAGGTTTGCAAGGTTACAACTTCGACATATGTCCTGAATGATGTTAAATAATGGTACATAGTGACTTAGTATTAACTTCAATTGGTGATGCCATCTCTATCCCCTCTGTGCCACTGATCATCATCATGCAATACAACAGGAAAGCTAGAGTTGATTCCCAAATACTTTCTTTCTTGCTTTATTTCTAATAAACGGGGCCTCAACTCTCACAGGGATCAGACAATAGATTTGTAACATAACAAATGATCTTTCAGAGCATTTTGGTTTCTTTCGTACAACAGAAAAAACATTGTAACATAATGTGACACAACAGGACATTTCTTGTACATTATATTTATAGCGCAAGGAATATTACATGATAGCTTTGGTGCAGCACTATACATTTGTGAGTCATCCTTAGATCCTATCCCCTGGCCAGCCTGTGCCACAGTCTAATGCTAGGCTACACTGACCCCTGGTGGTCAGATTGAAGTACTACAATCACAGTGAATCAAGCGGGGATTTTGAGTTTAGTGTTTCTGAGAAAAGCCTGTAGAAACACTCGCTCAAAATTCTAAAAGAAATCTAGAATCTACCAAAAAGAAAATTACATTTTTTTAAATGAAAAGCTGCCATATGCACATTATATCTCTTCTGAAATGTGGATGTGATGTAAGGGGAGTGTAACTTCCCACAGGAGCCGTCAGAGTTTTTTAAATGAGGTCATGCAAAAGAGGAGAGCTGCAAGAAGCTCCCTCGCAGACTACAAGTCAAACTTTGCACCGTAAAGGTTCAACACTTACCTCCATTTTGAAGACATTTTTGGATTCCTAAAAGAATCCCCTTTACGTGGCTGAAACAAAAAATGTCTCTTATGCTGCATTATTAAGAAATGAATTAGTTTCGCGTCGTTAATGTTAGTTTTCTTCCCAAGCTGCTACTGGTTGTAGCAGCTATATATATATATTTTCCATTTTCAGGAACAACGATATCACTGACGGTCCAAAAAGGCCAAGTGAAGACATGTAAAACCTTCCTTCCGGAAAATCTTCACAGCCCAGTGCTGGTAAATTGAGATTGTGACAGTAGTGAGGACAAGATGTCACACAAGCAGGGTTGTGATCGTTGGCTTTGGAGGCCGGTTTGAAAAGACAAGAATGAAGCCTTGAAGTCCTTGATGATGAGCTGAGGCCGAGTGGAAAACCGGTGGATATAAAGAACTTGTCTGTTGGTACACAATTGTGGCAATAAATGATCAAAAAAAAAAAAGAAAAATATATTAGTAGAAATGGGTACAAACCTACAAACCGAGAGACAGAATTGCGATTTTTGCTATAGTCAAAGAAAGAATCGATTCACAATATTTGTCTCACTATGAGCCAGCAGCAGCTGGTTTGGCCCCACCAGCCTCCTCCCTGTTAAATATATATCTTTTTTGAATTACAATTTTTACAAATTAAAACCAAATCATTATTTACCTGGTAAAACCCAACGAAGACAATCGTCTTACATTTCATACTACATATTGCAAGTGAACATCGTGACCACGGCACAGTCTAAACAACTGACTAACAAACTATTTATACAAAGTATAAATAGTTTGTTATCTCACACTGGTGACCAATGAAAGAGCAGCTTTTAAAAGGGATACACAAGGGTTCATCGATAATAATACATCATCATTTATAAGATGGTTTATATTTTGTCGTAATAATCTAAATCTGGAAAGTAATTAATGTTGTCGAATAAATGTAATGAGTAAAAAGGCTGACATTGGCTTTTAAAATATAGTGGAGTAGAAGTATAGAGTAGCATAAAATGACACACACCATAATACTGAATGGCCTTTAAATAGCCATGGAGCGGACTCAACACCTCTCTGACCAACAAAGCTGGACACAAGTTTCATGAAAAGTAATTGCAGAGCTGTTGTATTGGATTGTATGGATTGAATGAGATCGCAAAGGAATAATTCAAACACTGATAGTGTCAGTTTTTATTTTTTTTTAAATCAAATATAGGAATATTGACATTTCAAAGCATCATCATGATGCCTGTTATTTCAAACACTGATGCAGGTGTAGGCTACATCATCAAATCATCAAATCTGATATTTACCAAAACATCCGTATCAAAATGATTAAATTGTTATCAAATGCCTCTTGCATCCATAGAAATATCTGGATTACACTCATAAATCTGTGTGGTATGATATAAAGTGTATTGCCTCTTCTTACGATGAATATAGACTCCAATCCATCTGTGCTTCAAAAATCAGTGATGAGCTCCAACAGTAAATCCTCCGTGCAAATCCACCAGCATGGGATCATGCAGAGTGGCCAGCCGATGGATGGGGCAAAAATAAGGTCAATGCATCTGACACAGAAATAAGACCATAGATTCATTTGAAGTGCTATCAGCATCTTAGCTGGGAATAGTCCTGATTATCCTGCAATGTGGGGAGGAATAATGCGGATTTAACCCACGATAGGTCATCAAAGTCATAAGTTATAATGGCACTGCTCCAAAAGTGGAAAATGTTTGGTTTGTTTTACAAGCAACCAAAAGTAAAAACTGATGTGCACAGTTCCATTGGCTATATAAATAGGTTTAATGGTGTGCTTTAGGAGGACATAGGCTTTGTTTGTAATGTGATTTATACAACCATAATATTAATGTGTATTGCTCATATGATGAGTTGAGGGTGATATTTTAACAAAAATATCTCTGCTGACCTCTTCTGGTTGCATGACAAAAATATTTAAATTGTGCTTGTAGTGGCAGAATTTAAGTGTGAAGTTTGGGTAAGGAGACAAAGATTGTGTACATAATGTTTTATGCAAGATGCCTTCTTTTTTTTTTCACCGCTGTAAAAATAATTGGTGTCTTATGTCCAGGCTGAGCAGTGTGTGCATGACGGAAAATAAACAACAATCACTGGAACTAGAACTGGAAATGGTGGCAGAAGAAGCATTGTTTGCTTCATATGATGACTGTTTCTTCTCTTGAGAAGGGAGAGGAAGGAGGTTTTTTTAATAACGCCTGTGTTAAGACTCGTTTATTTCCGTCTGCTAAAAAAAAACAAGTATTCACTGGCCACCGTATTCAGCCTGTGCCTTTTCAGGTCAGCATGAGCAGTTTCGTGAAGTGTTACATAACCTCCTGGCAGCAGCGCGCTCCGTCATGAAGCCGAGCACAGTGTGGGCTGCGTCTTTAACACGCCAGGTAACAGTGACACAGGGACGACACAGATTTACCCTGCTGAACGCCCCGTCATTTGACAGAAATCGAACCTCTTTTTCTGTTTTCTCCTCATTATATTTAAGATATTTTGTCGCTTCGTCGTCGTTGTTGTTGACGCAGCGTTACCCAAAGGGTGTGCGCCTCTGTGTGCACGAATAGACACGCGCATCACGGGCTGCATCCGCGTCTACACCGTCACTGCCCCTCCCTCTCTGACTGCCGGCATCACCAGCAGCCCGGAGGGTGCTGTCATAAACCGGAGAATAAATTCCCGTTTAATGATCGTGAAAGGGGGGCACTCGTCGTCTTTTGTGTTAATGGTTATTGTTGTTGTTATGGTTGGCTGCATTCATTTGTAAGTGCATGCCTATAATGTTCCGTTTGGACACGACCCCATTCAGAGACGGAGCACAAACCGCTTGTTAGTGTGTTTGGGCTTGGGAGGACACGCCTGTATATTCGGTCGAGGGGTGAATAATACATCTCTCTTTCGCTCGCAGGTTTCTCGAGGTTTTCCAAGGGCATCCGCGAGCGGCACGTTGCGGCAGCGATGTGCGCGTCTGACGGCTAGACGGAGCCAGAGGGAGGGAGCTTGTTTTCTGCCGCTGTAGTCGTTGAGTTTTCAGAGTCCTCGGTCACATCCAGGGGTTCGAGTGCTCCGCTCAAGCTGTGCCTCCTCTCCGTTCACCGCCTGGCATTTAAGGATGCGACGTCACGAGTTGATCGCGCCTGACAGATGTTGCTGTGTTGCAGTTGCACGGGCATAGGTTCTCCGCGCTTGTTCTCGTTGTGTGTGTGTGTTTTTTGGGGGGTGATGATTCTGTAAAACGGTTCGTGCAATAAACGCCAAGTCCTCGCTCTGTGCTCGGACAGATCGCGACGCTCATTTAAATCTTCGGGATTCCATAAAATGATACCTGGATCCACCGCATCAATGCTACCGTCTGCAGAAGCTGCGAAATTGTACCAGACCAATTACGTCCGCAACTCCAGCGTCATCGGACTTTTGTGGGCCATCTTCACCATCCTGTTCGGCATCGTTAACGTGATCATCTTCTCGCAGCCTTACTGGATCGGGGATGGCGTGGATACGCCGCAGGCCGGCTACTTCGGCCTTTTTCACTTTTGCGTCGGGGACGGCATCGCCAGAGAACTGGCCTGCCAGGGTACCTTCACTGAGTTCGCCGATATCCCCTCCACCGCGTTCAAGGCCGCCTCCTTCTTAGTTGGAATGTCCATGATGCTGATTGTCAGCTGCATCGGCTGCTTCAGTCTCTTCTTCCTCCTCGGCACCTCCACCGTGTACAAGATCTGCGGCTGGATGCAAGCGGCATCAGGTACGTGCCTTTCAGTAGCACCTACAGCGGGACACAGGGGCTGGAGGGGACCTTGAGAGTAGGATTTATTTATTGTCACCGTATTCACAACATGTAAGGGGGAGCATGGATATGACAACATTTCACTGTTATCTTCCCAGCTACACTAAACACAGCGAAAAGCTATATTATCTCAAATTAAATGTTGGGTCCAAGACACACTATCTGAAGTGTCTAAGGGGTCTAATTTCTTTCTGATAAGGTCCTTGGTATGAAACGTTTTGGAAAGCCTTAAACTGGTTGATTGATCAGTTGATTAGATAAATGAATTGTCAGTGCGGGGCAGCCAAAGATAAGCAGACAGTGTCCAGGAACTCTCCTGGAGCTGTCAGCCACCACTGCTGAACAGACAGGGCTGTCCATGGTGCTGAAGTGTTGCTGAGGACATTGGCCCTGGACAGCTACAGGTGAAGTTTTTCAGCTTAATTTCCTGTATTTCAAATATCTCAATAAAATCCTGTCATATAGCATTTACAAAAAATACTGATACAAATAAACCTGCAACTGAAAACATTGATTATTTTTCACTTTTGAGAGTGATAGCAGCTTCCACTTAGGCCGGATACTGACTTTAATAACCAGAGCAGGTGTTGGCCATGAAGTGACCAATCCACATTAAATATAGTTTATTTGTCAATGTCATTATTCAAATCAGTTACATTGTTACATTTTTTGCAGTTTTCACTGACCTCGCAATCCTTAGTGTAATGTTTCCACATGAAAATGATCCCAGTGACTTTCACACAGTACTGTGTCCGATCGGCGTACTTCACCAACCAATCACACTGGCATCGGATTGATATTGGCAGATTCACTGAGTTGAGGTTTGGGACTTGATATCAGGAGAAAAAACAGTTGTATGGGTGTATTTATTGTTCCAGTCCTGTGTTTTGAATTTTGGTAGGCAGTGGTTTACCATTTGTTTAAATTAGGAACATGTATTGTGCCTTTAACCAGTCTGTGCTTTATACATCAATACAGAGACATTGGTATCTTGATGTTTATTTATCACCATGTTTCTTTGTTTGTCATCACAACCTTTTCTCCTAATAAATCACAACAACATAAGTGCACAGATGAAACCTCTGAAAAGCCCATTTCTTTTCATTATTGGTCAAAAATGATGCTCCTGCGTATTTTTTTATAATATAATGCAGAATTTACAATTGCGTGACCACATCAGATATGCACTTAATGCATGATATAAGGCTGGTTTTGTAGCACCTAAGAGGTTTAGTACAATACAGCCAAATATAATGAAGTGAACTGTTTCTTGAATGACCTGCAGTCTATTTGCTGCCAGCAGGTGTGTGTGGGTGTGTTTGTGTGTATAGAGTTAGGGGTGTTGAGGGTGTTCAAATACTGTCGAGGTCAGCGGTTCAGCGGCTGGCAGCATTTTGCCACTGTAGATGTGAGCTGATGTCATCCAGGGTGAGCGGAGGCCTCCGTCATCTGAAGGTAGTCCAAACGTTGCCAAAAAATCGCGTCTGCTCAGCTGAACCCAGTGGCCGAAGCAGTCGGCTTCCTCTTCGCAACGATCACAAATGAGGGGGGATTATTTGGACCGGCTCCAGCTCAGTGTGTTATGCTGGGCTGAATTAATGCAGTAAGCCTGTTTAATGAGGAGACCACCGGGCTTTGTGCTTCTGTAGCTAAGAGATGAAAGAGAAAGCCAAGAGGAGAGACCCTGACCACAGCAAGCTGGCGCGGAGATGCCTAATGAGGGAGCCTTGCTGCTTAGCACTGTCAAACTTCATTACGCTTATAGCTGAAGGTGAAACTCCCGCTGCCTTCACTGGGAAGGACAGGTGGCCCACTGGCATCTGTAATGGGCCCCTTACTGTCAGCTGATGTTTTGATAGGGAGATACAAATCATCAATATTATAGTGATTAATGACAGGCGTGTGTGTGTGTGTGTGTGTGTGTGTGTGTGCAAGAGAAAGAGAAAGGGAATGAGAAACCACTTATTTCTGCATTGCTCCCTTTACTTAGCTACACAAGGGTATGCCACATCTCATCTCGTTTTCTCATAGAAAGGCTACATTTCTTTCCATATATGGTTCTTTCCTCGTCTTTATTGCAAAATTGTATGGTATGAAAAAACAGCATATAACAACACCACCATGCCTCACTGAGTAAAGTGCTTTTTTCCGATACACTAACTCAATATCAATAACTCAATATCATATCTGTTGGCCACGTGTAAGGATGCACCGATCCGACTTTTTCAGTCCCGATACGAAGAGCAGCACCTGGGCTTTGGGTATCAGCCGATACTTGAGTACCGATTTGATACCTGTGTTTGATTAATGAGCTGTATGCCTCACTCAGGATCATTCCTTTATGTGTAAGGCTACAGGCTTCACATTAATATAGCTTTACAAAGTTTGTAAAACAAAATGTAACAAATAAATATAGAGATATGAATTAACTGATTGTTATTTTTATTGAATAATAAGTCGTACACCAGCAACTTGGTAAAGAATTTAAAGTGTATACCTTTTTAATGCAGCAACAAAATGGTAAAAACTTAAACAGGAATTTAGATTCCAGCATGTAATGTATATAGTATATAAACATAATTGAGTTGAATAGATCGGCCCCATTGTCTCCGATACCCGATCCAGCTATTGGAAGTATTGGCCCAATATCCGATATCGGTATTTATGCATGCCCAGCAAAATATATGTAATTTAAGTGATGCCACACTCGCAGCCGCTTTCACAAATCCCCTTGGGCTGAGGTCAGAAACACTTAACAACATAAAACAAATTCGCACCATCAGAGAGAGACCTCCTCTCCACTGAGTCAGCCTGTGAGAGCATGTGGAGCCATCTCCAGGAAAAGGTTTTCTATGAAGCTCAGGTGAAAAGAAAAAGCTGAATGTTTGATGAGAAAGCAAACCACCAGAAAATGTTTGAAGTCTTGAAATGTCTGCCGCAGCCAAAGAAAGCTGAGTGCAAAAATGCTCCTGTGTCCATCCTGCCCTGGATGGACTTGTATCCTTCTTTTACCTCACCAGAGCTATTTCTGTCTGTGCATCTGCTCACGTCCATGGCATGCAGATGTAAGTATTTGTTTTTTTCCCGCTTAACCGAGCTCAGCAAGATGCATGACGCACAAGCTCCTTTACCTTATCTCTTTCTGTTACTTCCACGCAATTTCACCCTTCTGTGCATCTCATCTAGTTCCTCCTGCTCATTTTGACCTCGCCGTATTTCCAATTCCACTCTCTTTTCATACCTTTTCTTTCCCTGTCCTCCCCTCTCCTCCCCTTCTTTTCTCTTAATGGCCTTGTTCCAGTGGGTACAGTGCTGTCCATTTCTGTCTCCATCCTCTCTGTCCTGTAGCTGCAGTTTGTCAGGGGTCTGCACGCCAATTAACTAAGAAGACTTTGAGGTCAATGATAATTACTTCTCAGTTTTATTCCCCCGTCTGCATACTCTGTTATGTCGCCAGCCATTTTCTATATTTGTAAGATTAGTCACCTGTGAAAAAGCAAAATGTAGGCTTCTAAAGTCAGAAGAACAACTGTGCAGACTGAGGGTGGCCTATTTGGAACGATACAGGCTGATTTTCAACTGCCTGGATTTACTGGGTCAGATGCCTATTTTTCACTCTTTTTGTTTTGGTCTTTTTCTGTCAGTGTAGGCTTTGGATGGTGTTGTTCTTTCATATAAAAAAAGGGTTGCTTTAGAATTCAAGGGGAGGCAAAATGCCAAAAACATCCTCTGCTTCTTTGTTGATGTCTTTGGTTGATACTGTAGAACATTTAGAACATTTGCATGGGTTTCTCTGATATATTTAAACAGAAACATCCGTCTGATGGGCTGCTCTTGGCAAGTCTATTTCTGATTAACCCTATGACTTACATTGTGTTTTAAAATAGATACACTTATGTGATTAATTCTATGGAGCGAGGGTTTAATGCTTTAACTCATTTCATTGTACAATTATAAGATTCATTTGTATGGTCAATTAAATGACAATTGGTTTGTCAGAAAGTGGTGAAAATTCAAATTCAAATTACGCGTTTTGTCCGACAAACAGTTTGAAACCCAAAGATATTCAGTTTACTCTCACATAAGACAATCCTTCACCATTGTGAGCTGAAGTTAGAGAGTATTTGGCCTTTCTGCTTTCAAAATGTATCAATTAAGTATCAAAATAGTCAAAACTGTATTTTTGATCAATTAGCTAATTAATTGACTAATCGTTATTTATCTAAACTAGATTACAAGATACGACTTAGGTAGACCAGTAATCACTGCTCTGACCTTACCACTGACATTGGACTCATCTTGTGAATTGAGCCTCTAGGCTGCTTTCAGTCAACTTTCAAACTGCATGCATATTATATAAAGTAAAGAAAAAGTACAGTTCCACTATAAGTTATTAAATGAGTGAATATATATGTGTGTGTGTGTACCAGTATGCTAAGACAGAAAATAGAGCCTTCAGTTAAAATTGTCATTGGATAAATGTGGATCAAACTGTAGGGATCCACGCAACAAAACCTTAAACCTGTATGGCCTGACAGTGGTGAGAAAGGACAGTGGGGAGATGAAGGGAAAAACAGAGATGACAATACAGAGAACAAAAACTGTGAGATAACATATGAGACAGAAGTCTAAGGTCTGCAGGCACACAGACAGAGTGGATCAGATAAAAGAGCTCAGACTTTAGATGACCTCTTTCTTTCTCTCTGTTTCGTTATCTCTGTTTCTGTAGCTGGCTATCACTCCCATGGTCCATTAGCTCCATTGAGATGCTTGTTCTGAGAGGACCATTAAAGCCTCGTTGAATGCAGAGGGGGAAAGTGGTGGAGCTCAGCACGGAGCCCCTATCATAGAACTGCACTTTTCACTGCAGCAGGTTACCAGAAAAGTGTGTTTGGGCTCTCCAGAGTTCATGCTTTTGTCTGGAAACCCTATCTGGCCCTTAAAAGCAGATTAGTGCT